GGACTTTGGACTGGGATTTTGGTATAGGACTTTGGACAACGACTGTGGACTGGGACTTAGGATTGGGAACTAGGATATAGAATCTGAATGAGGAGTCTCAACTAGGAATCTCGAGTAAGACTATGCACTTAGACTCCAAACTGGGGCATTTACTAGGAATAAGGACTATGACACGCATACCGGGAATCTTGATCGGGACTCTGCCACATTGGGGTTCCATCAATCTCTTTGTTGTTATCTACAATACAACCCCTCCTTAATGCAGTCCTTTATCTATTTTGATGTCATACTCAATATTCTATGTCAAACCCCATATCTATTTTGATAATATCTTCGACAGAAAGTTGTGGTTGATATGCCTATTGTAATGTTCTGGTCAATATGAACTTCAATATTTACCCTCCCCCCCCCGCCCCCCCCCCCTCCCGACAGGGACTGTGGACTATGTCTTTGGACTGGTAGTCTGCATTGGGTCTCTAGATTGGGATTCTGGACTGGGACTGTGGATTGGGTCTTTGGACAAAGGCTTTGGACCCAGAGTGTGGATTGGAACTTTGAACCAAAACTTCGATTTTGGACTGAGACGTTCGTCTGGAACTTTGGACTGCAACTTACGACTGGGACTCGGGACATGGAATGCCAATGAGGACTTTCAACCACGAATTTCGACACATGAAAATATGATGCATAAATTAGTCAAATGATAAGTAATTCGTTGAATAATTTACCCTACAATTCAGTTTAATAATTACCCCATTCAACTCATTAACAAGTCTCAACAATAATTCAAGGAAACTGGCGTAATAAAGATGTTAACCATTCAGTCTAAGGACCTGGGATTGGGATTGGCAAATGGGTTTCAGGAATGAGACTCTGGATTGAAAACCGTTAATATTTTGATGTGTGTCTAGTTTAATGTTATGTCAGATATATATTTTATATATTTGGAAATTGTGATTGTGATGGTATCATTGAAGGACACTGGCTAAATGGAGCCGTGGATCATTTACCTCGAGGCTCCGCCAAATAGAAAAACATTTACTGTTTTTATGGTTATGTCAGATATATATTTTATATATTTGAAAATTGTGATTGTGATGGTATTATTGAAGGAAACTGGCTAAATGGAGCAGTTGAGCATTTACCTCGAGGCTCCGCCAAATAGAAAAACATTTACTGTTTTTGAAGAGCAATCACTCAACAATTGCACTAGTCACCTTGGCCTTGTCTTAATGCAATATGTAATTTGTCTCCCTTGCAGGGTTCCTGTGAAACACACTGTCATTGCTGCATATTTTAGGTGCATCATTTCTTGTGCAGTCACAAAGCGGTAAGTGCTCTCTCCCCTCCGAACCCATTTTGGAGTCAGGGATTTTATTTTTCTTTCAATGTTGCTCTGAATAATTATATGCTCCTCTTTTATTCTTTTTTTTTCCCTCACTTCTTTTTGTGCTGGATATAACTATTTTTTTCTACGTTGATGATGTCATGACGATAGGATCCGGATCCCCGTATATACACTGATCTTTTTATGCCATCTTGAGAGTTGGATGCTCATGTTGAAATCTGGCTTAGTTTCGTGGTCTACGGGTGCATTACAAATTTGTGGTATGTACGTGAGGATCCGTCCGGGGAGGTGTTCTTTCAAAATGATTACCTCACCTTCTATGGGTTTTTCTGCCTCAAGTCTGGACGTGCTGAGCGAGAGGTATTTCTTGGAACCATCACGGTTAGGGTCTGAGTCACAAGTCTTCACAAGTCTGGGTTCGGGTTTCGGTCACGTGTCAGGGGGACAAGTCAAGGTCACAGCTTAGGGTCACGGGTATGGGTCAGTGCTCCGTTCACATGCATGATGTGTGTTAGGATCCGTATGGGTCGCAGGCTTTAGAAAACGTTTCAATGTACCTCATGTCATATTTGTAGTGAAGTTGCGCTATAGTACGCATGTTGATCAACACGTGCACGTTAATGATGATGCTATATTCAACATAGCATATACGTTGGTTCTGGGTGAGGGTCTGGAATTGGGTTTGGATGGCCAAGTGGACGTCCAACCTCTCATGTGGAACCGTATCGACGTCCTGTGTCTAGAATGAGGACTGGGTTTGAATTTGGGTCTGGATGTGGATGTTAATCTACGTTAGGGGTACGAATGTGGATTGTGGTCTGGATCCAAATAAGGATATGGGTCTGACGTGCAGGTCTGAGGCTTATCCAGGATTTGCTGCTCGTTGTAGACTTGTATGTTGATATAGTGTGACAGTTCTTTTGTTGATGTTATCATGAACATAGTGTCTGCGTCCCTATGTCAATGTTGATCTTATGTTCAACGAAGAATCCTGATCCTTAGATTTATGTTGTTGATGCCATCTTCAAAGTTGGATGAGGATGCACAATTCGATTTTTATGTTACTTTTGATATGGCATAGGTGTTGGGTCTGAGTCAGAACCCTAGGTTAGGGTTCGGGTGTAGGTGTGAGTTAGAAGGTTAGGGTATGTAGGATAGGATATTGCGGGGTTGTTGTATTGGGTCTGGGCATCCGGAGTCTCGGGTATTGTTTGGAGCGAGCAGCCATTGTGTTTGAGGTTTGAAATTGCATTGGGATCTGTTCTGTAGACCTGTAGCCTTTCACGAGGAAGAAAGCAGACATTGGGATCTGTTCTGTAGACCTGAAGCGGTTTGGGCCACTTAAAAATGACGGTCGAGTCCCCATATCTATGTTGATCTTATCTTCAACAGAGCATTTCGGTCCCGATGTTTAGGTTGATGTCATCTTCAGGATTGCCTTGAGATGCAAATGTTGATGTTGATGTTATAGTAAAAAAAACATAGGTGTTGGACTTGGGTCAGATGTCCGGGTTAGGGTCATAGTCAAGGTCCGATCTTATATTTCAGATAGCAATCCGAGGCAGCGGGCCAATTCAAAGTCTACTTGAAAAAGGTGCATGACTCCCCATATCCTTGTTGATCTTATTTTCAATGGAGCATTTGGTTACCCATGTCTATGTTGATGTTATCTTCAGGATAAAAGTAGTCTAACATATTGATTTTGATGTTATAGGCAAAATAGCATACGTGTTGGATTCGGGTCAGAAGTTTGTGTTACGGTTGTAGTCATGGTCTGATCTTATATTCAAAATAGCAATCGAGGGCAGCGACCTGAGACAGAGGTCCTCTTTAACAAAGTGTTCCGGTATTGTCCTCTTTATTCAATGTAACCACGCAGTAGGCATTGTCCTCTTTAACAAAGTGTTCCGGTATCCGTATCTATGTTTGTATTGTTTTCAACGGAGCATCTGCGTCCCGATATCTATGTTGAAGTCATCTTTAAGATTGCTTCGAGATGCACATGTTGATTTTGATGTTATAGTTGAAACAACATAGGTGTTGGACTTTGGATGTCCGGGTAAGGGTCTTCGTCAAGGTCCGATCTTATATTCAGCAATGCAGGGCAGTTGCTTGAGTCAAAGGTCTAGGTTAGGGTCTAGGTCTAGGCCTGCATTAGAAATCGTCCTCTGTAACAAAACGTCCGAGTGTGCATATCTATGTTGATTTTATCCTCAACGGAGCATCTGCGTCCCGCTGTCTATGTTGATGTCATATTCAAAATTGCCTCGAGATGCGCATGTTGATGTTGATGTTATATTCAAAATAGCAGTGGCCTATACATGTAGATCGACATTCTATTCATCATGGTATTGCGGCTATAAGTATATATCTCACGCCCGGAGGATCACACGGCTGGAGTGATTTTACTGCTTGCAATCCTTCTTGTTTAGTGTTGATTACCTGTTTGCTTGGAAATCGGAGACGGATCGGGCCAGATGACGTGGGATTCGAATTGGAACCGTGACTGGGATTGGATCCTAAATGTGGGATTGGATCATTGGACAGGGATTGACAATCCACACTCTTGAATTGGGAGATGGGACAAGGTCTCTACAGCGGGGCGCAGACTGAGGACGGAGACTTGGGACCCATCTAAATACATCCCCGAATCGAACAGCTGTTTGACTTTCGTCCCTTTTTTGTCATTTTTTTGTCCTGGCATGTGTGTGTAGAAGCTCGAGATTATTTTCTCTGCATGTCGTTTCTGCTGCTTGTGGTGTATATCACGCACTGTTGTGTGTCGTTTCTGTTGTCTGTGTTGCCTGTCTTGTGTAGTCAATATCATCTCTCAACCTCCTTCATCAAATGTGGCAGTCAGACCTATCACATGGGTATGGAACTCGGGTATGGAACTTGGGCATGGGACTTGGGACTGTGACTTGAGTCTACGACTTGGGTCTAGGACTTTGAACTCAGATTTCAGCATGGGACTGAGATATGGACGGGATTAGGGATGGTGGTATGGAGATGGAAACCGACAAGGTAGCTTCATCGACAGAGGATCCTGTCAACTGCTGGTTTAACAGTCATATGAGTTAGTTTAATGTCATCAACTGGGTTGTTTGTTTATCTTTTCGCAAGTGATCGTCTTCCACTGTTACACGAGAGAGGATGTGG